CAAGTTATTGGTTAAGACAATAACTAAGGACATCAAGAGTACTTTTCCTTTTTATTACTATTTATTTTTTTCTAAAGATAGGATTTTATGAGTCTCTCAGATTCGCCCCAGTGAAACATTCCATAGTTTTTAATAGAGCAACAACGAAACACTAAATAAAATCCCTTCGGCGAAAACAGTACTGAGAGGATCATATATAGGCAATGTCTCAGCCTCACAATCCCTCAGAATATTGCTGTTTTCACGAGGCATACCTAACTTTACTATAAGTCTCATTTCGTTTATTTACTTTGATATTTTCACGATACTTAGAATTTACCTAAGAGTAAATAAACGCGAAGGCGTTAATATCGCCTTAATAGACCGAATCTTACATGAGGTACAAAGTTGACTTTATCGTGCCTCATTTGTCTGACTTTAAATTCATTTGTGGGTACTGTGACAGTGGAGCCGGGTAGGTTTCAATGTACGTCGGGAGGTATATTCGCATTGGTATCTAGAATGTCTGTAAGTGACTCTCTGAACCCTTCTTGTTCATGCTCCGGGTCCTCTTCATGTTGTGTGAGGAGCGATTCCCATTTTGCATCTGTTGGTATAAGTGGATTGATTAATCCTGCTATGTATTGTATGGTAGAATGTCCATACCGAGAAGTATTGGTGCCTTCTTGTCTGGTAGGCCCAATACTTCAAAACACTGAGAGGTCTTCAGTTGATCCTGTGCGTTGTATTCTTGCATCTGTTTGTTCTAGTTGTATATAGTCCTGTTGCGCTCTGATAGAGAGATATAGTTCTGTTACTACACTCTTGTCCGTGCATGAGCGTTGTGCGCCCGAGTGTACTAATACATTGTATGTATTGCCATTAATTTGTATATCAATGTGTAAACGCTGGTCTCGTGGTGCGGGAAGTAAGGATAAAGGTTTATATTTTAAATCATTCGCATTTATTAACAACGTTTCTTCATCTGTATATACATTGAGCCTGTCAGCCAGGTCAATCATGTTTGCTTCCGCCCACCAGTTGTTTTAGTGCTCATCACCTTCTGTTATGTCTTCTACGTTGTCAGAGGTAATGGACAGTCTTGCTATTTGCACATCCTTCTTGGCCCGCTCCTCAGCCTGCTTGGCTTGATTCAACTTTTTCTTGAGACATTTACTGAACCGATGTGGGGCTAGCATCACCAGACAGTAGGGACATGCACGCTCTTCACGTGCCCCTTTCTTCTCTTGTGCCTGTACCACTGGCTTGTTTTGGTTGGGTGCACCGTTGTCCGGTTTATACCATTTGTGAACAGTAGTAGTGCTATTCTCATCTTGGATGGTTGTCTGTGCATTTTGACGTTTGTTATGCACTCGCAATTGTTCCCTCAACATTCGATCTCATTGGATCTTGGATGCTGCTCTTATGTTTGCCTCAGTCATAGTACGAAACTTGGCGTGTTCTATATCTGACAAGTGTCCGGCACTTCCAGCAGGTTACTTGTCTGCTCTGATTAAAGCATTCACCTGTGTTTGTTGTCCGAAGTACATAAGTGTTTGGTACCTTTGTACTTTGAGGAGTTGAAAGTGTATGGGTTTCTTGTTTGAGTTGCGGTAACGCTTCTCTAACATCACCATTGTCTTATGCGCACGCTCTGTGTGCACTTCGACGTTCAGCTTCTTGTTTTGCATGTCATTGAAAAACTTCTCTAACAGATAGTCTACTGGGTGGGGCCTGAGTCTGTCAAAAATGGACCTATTGAATTGCTCAGGTTCCTTGAAGTGCTTAGTTGTATGCATCTCAGAATCTCTTAGGCTATTGAGTGCTGACTTGGTCTTCTAACCTAATAGTGTTTCTCACTAGTGCTGGGTACTGACACAGCGGCTGAACAACTCCATGATGTCTTCACAATTTTCCATTCTAAAGTATATGTCTGTAGGCATCTTAGGAAATTCTGAAGTCTAGTAGTTTTGCAAGAGGTGGCTCCTTTATCTGGTCGCCTAAGCGTGAATTCGTGAGCTCTAAATTTTTAATGTATTGACTTAATTGAATGAGATCATATTCCTCATCGTCACCACAACCGTTGATAGCTAGATCATATCGTCGTCTGAGCTCCGCATCCACGAGTGGCATGCGTCGCTCTGGATGTTGGTCATGAATGCCTACCCTCATCTTGTGTAGAGTCGGTATAGGCACTGGTACTGTTTGCTACAACTTGGACACAAACCTACTAACCAGGACGTAGTTGCCTTGACAGATACTGTTACCCCAGCCGGTTCCTTTATTTTACCTGTCTTTAAATTTACCTATTTTACCCTCATCTTCTCGTGGGTGTCTCCACACAAGTTGGTTGTTTAACACACCTCTGTCTGTAATAACAGAAGGTTCATTAAATAATTTCCTGGTACCAACATGATCCCCGCGGAGCGGGTACCACATCTAAGATGTAGGTAGGCTGGCCAGAACCATTGCCTGGGTTTGGCTCCCCCAATGGGCTGACCCTCACATCATCCGCGCCTTCACTCCCTTTCTCCCTACCATACATGCCTGCTCTGGTTGCCGTTGACATCTTGATATGTCTACGTTGGTGTTTGGCTATTGCGGGTTATTAATAAAGGCTCTTGCTATATTCTGTGCGAATGCGCGCGCTTCACCCCCCTTGTCTATAATAATAACTAGTATAAAATAAATAAACTTTGAATCTATTTTACTTACTATTGTATTGTTGTTGCTGCGCTGTACTTCCGCGGGAAGTGTTTACCGTTCTGTATGGTACGGTAGCTTGTTGCTTTGTTGTTACCTGTATTTATGAGGGGTGAAAACGGTGTTTGTTAGTCAAGCTTATTTTGTCACGTGTGGACTTACTTGTGCTTTTTCCGTCATATGAGAAATTAATTTCTCATGTGATCTCAATGAGATGTTCGGTCCTGGTGACGTCACTTGGGGAAGTTCGGTCCTGGTGACGTCACCGAAGAAGTTCGGTGCTGTTGAAGGCCATTGTTATGTACCGAACATTCATGCCTCAGTAGGCTGTACCTTTGTTTGTAGTGTCCCGAACTTTCGTGATTTATTCCGTTTGAATATTCTTGTATTGTTAGTCCACTGTAGTTTATTCTGTTGAATATATGTGTGTACCAAACTATTGTATTATTAGTCTGTTGTATACTTGTACTGGTGTACTAGGTAATGGTAGTGTCACCCTCAATGTAGTGTGTGCTTGACTAATTGTCCTTCTGATTCCTTGAGCTCTTAGTTAGTTTTCCGTTCACAGTAATTATGCGATACAGGAGAGACTGGGGTTGTTGGCCTGTGGTACGCGTGCTCTGTACCGATAGATCCTCCCGTATGGAGGTATTGTAGGCGCCAGGCACCGAGCGTAGTGGCCTCTACCGCCTTTTTGCGGAATCCATTGTTCATGGATGTGTGACCATACAGTCTAGCTTATTTACTTGGGTGTTTCTCTCACACGCGGAGTCCCGGTATAGCTTACCGCTTCTACCGCTAATATTTCTGATGACTCTAATATCAGAAATATTCCCATCCTAATTCCAAAACTCAATATTTGATGATCCTGGGTTTTGGGATTTGGATTGGCTTTTAAATAATCTGGTCTCTAGATGCTACACTGGGGTGGTGATTGGGACGGAGGCACTCGCCCGAGACGGAATACTGGTTCATTTGGGCCCACCTGACGATCGAGTCGAATTTGTGGTCCTCGTATATACCGTGATCCGCAAGAAGGTATGTTTGAGGAGAGGCTGGGGTTGTTGGCCTGTGGTACGCGTGCTCTGTACCGATAGATCCTCCCGTATGGAGGTATTGTAGGCGCCAGGCACCGAGCGTAGGGGCCTCTACCGCCTTTTTGCGGAATCCATTGTTCGTGGATGTGTGACCATACAGTCTAGCTTTGTTATTGAAATCATCCCAAACGACAACTGGTTGTGAGTTGCCGATCTCAGGAGGATTCCTGTAATGTTCAACTCTTGCCTCTGTTGAGGAGTTGAGTGGGAGGTAGAATACAGTCATTCGAATAACAAAGCATTAGAAGAAAAGTGAATATGTTGATGAATGGAGGCGGAACTTCGATGGGTGATGCTTGAAAAGTATTACAATACTACAGTGCGAATGATGTACGGGGTTGTGTCGTGCAGTGTGGTATAAGATATGGTGCTTCGTAGAAGAACGTACATGATTTAGAACAGTCACATTATGCCAGGTTTCAACCACACATATAATATCAATCTGATCCAAAATCGATACAACATTCAAACACTTATATGTTTTCGTCGGATTTTCCATGCTGAGACCTCGTGGGTCAACAAGCGTCATGTGTTCAGGTCCTAACATTGTTCGTCTTCTGACAAGTTGATAACAGGTTCTGTATTGTTGATTTCCATGTCGTCGTTTGCATCACGTGCTTCCACTTGATCCGCCTTCTCCAAGAGTCAGGAAACTGCGTTGCATGCGGAGTCCTGGGTTGTGGGGTTGGCACGCTTTGATTGAGATGTTCTCTCAACGGGCTCTGTATTATTAATTTCCATGATTTCGTTATTTGCATCATGTGCTTCCAGTTGATCTGCCTTCTCCAAGAGTCGGGAAACCGCTGATGGAGCAGTTGGGTTGCGTGTGGAGTCCTGGGTTGTGGGGACCACGCTTTGATTGAAATGCCCTCTCAATACGCCCGGCTGTAAATTTGAGGTTCTTGATATCTACTGATTTTGTCAAAGGGTTCAGGAGGAGATCAAGGCAATTGCCGAGGATCTCAGGTGCCAAGCCTGCACCGATGTAGAATTGCTGCTTTGGCTGAATCGGGGCGCTTATTGGAGTGGGGTTTTAATGGATATTTTCGTCAAGACGTCACTTCCAGGAATCATTCGCAATTCGGTTCAAACTGGCTTCGACCTCAGCGAGATATGGTTCAGCGGAAATACAGATTCGGTCGGAAATACAGATTCGGTTCGGAAGCACAGATTCGGGTTATATTCCAGGACAGCATAAATATGCGAATTGTCATTTTGTCAATTTCCGTATTTCTTGCACATGTTGTTCAGCAGGCATGATTGCTTGATCAATACACAGTCATCTATTGTTGAGTGCATATTCTATTACATTACATTTTCCATGTAATCTGGGATTATTTGAAACCGAAGCAGAGAACGGTCCGAACATGTGTCGCCTGTGGGTTCTCCAGTAATGTATGTTTGCGTACGTGTGCGTTCCGTCTTTAAAGTTACTTCCTTAAAATTGGCTTCGACCTCAGCGGAAATACAGATTCGGTTCAGCGGAAATACAGATTAGGTCGGAAATACAGATTCGGTTCGGAAATGCATTTCGGGTTATATTCCAGGACAGCATAAATATGCGAATTGTGATTTTACCAAATTCCGTATCTCGTGCACGTGTTGTTCAGCAGGCATGATAGGTTGTTCAATACACAGTCATCTATTGTTGAAAAAGCGCTGTGCATATTCTATTACAATACATTTTCCATGTGATCTGGGGGGCTTTGAGAACGAAGCGGTGGACGATACAAAAATGTGCTGCCGGTGGTTTATTTTTCAGTACATGCTGTACGCTCTTCATTAATGTATGTTTGCGTACGTATGCGTTCCATCTTTGAAGTTTCATCCTTATATTCACTTTGGGATATAATTATCTACTTTAGACTCTCTCGCTCAAAATCTCGAAAGCACAGTTTCCAGCCATCACTGGTGCTCGATGTCGATCGGTTTGTCGCCTTTTCGCATGCTTTATTAGTGCGTAAGGTGGAAAAATTCATTATCCGTAATAGTAGAAGTGCGCCTGTTCTCGTATTCGGCGACTGAGCAAGGTTCTGGGCAACCAATGATTGCAAACTTGTAAAGTAGGAAGAAGTCACAAGATCTGCCCGATATAGGTTGCTGCCATATGATGTACGACCCTGACAATCATGAAGTCATAGCCTAAAATTAATTGCAGTTCTTAGACAGCTTATTATATTAATCATACTAGACTACCAATATGGATCAAACAGACTCTGTCCAAAACGCAGACTCGGTATATATCCCGAATTTTGAGCTATCCAGCGACAATGACAACAGAATCACCGCCAACAAAAACAAACAAACAACCGAATGAGCGAATGAAGAAACGTTTGTATATAATATGTCTCCCAAGGAAAACCCGGGCACCATTTCTTACCTCCGAACCCTAGTATGCAATCTCATCACACCTCAGAAGGACTCTCTGAAAGAATCCCAGCTGTTCCGAGAGTAACCACCGTAACGTGATGATCAAACTGTTGCCTCCATATCAATCAGCGCCTGTAAATACAGCTCGCCGTCCTATCTTCACAAACTAAGAACAGGACCCAGACTCCAAAGCTGCTTTTTGAGCCTTCCTCTCCAAACTTCCGTCAAGGACAAATTTGTCAAAGGTCAAGACGGTCACAAATTAAGAGAGCGTCATCCGTTGCATAAACAAGACAAAACAAGTTAACTCTTTCAGCTATGGAAGTCAAGGCAACATTTAAATCCTCTGCCAACAACTTGCGCGCATACTCCGCAGTGTTCGTTCCCTCTAACAGTTCGTACGGTTGGCATCACCGCCGGAAAACGCAAAAATAATAATATTACTTCAATGCCCTCGTATCATTCACCATTCGTACCACGGAAACATGCATGTCCAGAATTTCGAATATAAATGCATTCATCTAAGAAAAGAAGTCGATACCATGCCATCCTCTCGTTCACCAAGCGGATCACAGCAACGTACCTTGAAATCTCCTGTCAGGGCGCTCAAAATCAGATTTTTGAAGATTCAAAAAATATAAAAATCAGATGCCATGCCCTCTTCTCACTCACCAAGCGGACCACAACAACATACTTTAAAATCTCCCTTCAAGCCGGTCAAGTGTGGATTAGCGTACTATTTGACCTGAGATATGCGGTCCGCGATGATACATCTTTCATACACAGAACCCGGACACGCTGGAAAGGGAACCTTGTTTGCGATTTCTTTTGCGTTGTTTGTACAGTTGTTGAGATTGCCATCTAGTGGTTCGTATGTTGATGTTCGCCGGCGGTGTGCCCAGATAAGTGTGAATGCTCATACTATTTGACCTGAAATTTTGTACGGCTGGCACCATCAACAAAAATTGTTAAGAACACGCTATTTATTCTCCTATTAATCCCTGTTTAGCCAGTTTCACGTGTTTGTTGTCAACAGGTCGTCAAAAAAGTGGGGTGAGTACAGACTTTCGAAGATAAGTTCATAAAGAAAAATATGCAACTGCCACGCGTTCCTCACGTTTATTAATCAAGCGACAGCAACGCACCTTGAAATTTCCGGTCTAACCGGCCAAGCTGAGATTTTCCAATCAAAGTTCATCGAAAAAAACACGCCAATGCCTTCCACTCGTTCTCTAAGCGAACCACAGCATCGTACTTTGGGATCTTCCGTCTATCCGAGCAAGATTATGTAATTCTCAGCGAGAGAAAATACTTTTTGCCCTCTTCTCGTACACCAAGCAGAACGTAGCTACGTACGTTAAAATATCTCCTCTAGTCTGAATGCTTATATTTTTCAAAGCAAAATTGATCTGAAAGGAACACGTTGGTGCCTTCCACGAGTTCACCAAGCGGGCCGCACCAATGTACCTTGAAATCATCCGTCTAGTCGGCCAAGATCAGAATTTTGAAGCAATATCATCGAGAGAAAGTACAATTATGCCCTTCTCTCATGCACCAAGCGTACCGCACCAACGTACTTTAAAATATCTCGAATGGCCTGTCTGGTTCTGATTTTGAAAGCAAAGTTGATCTAGAAAGAACATGCTAGTGTCCTCCACGCGTTCACCAAGCGGACAATTGCAACGTAAGTTTAAATTTCCTATCTAGTCGGCCAAGATCAAAATCCTGAAACAAATTTTGTCGAGAGAAAATACGATTTCCCCCTCCTCTCGTACACCAAGCTGACCACAGCAACTTAAAATATTTCGTCTGGTCTATATGGTTCTGATTTTCAACGCAAAGTTGATCTAGAGCGAACTCGACCAATACAATGTAACAGTCGGCCAAGGAAAGATTTCTGATCAAAGTTCATCGGGAAAAAAATACGACAATGCCCTTATCTCGTTCTCTAAGCGGGCCACGGCCACGTCCTATAAAATATTCCGTCTAGCCGACCAAGATTGTATAATATAAGCAAATCTCATTGAAAGAAAATGTAGAGTACGGAGAATAGCTGAAAGGTATGACATAAAGGATACAATAGACCTTTTCTCAAGTACGGTTATCTTAGCTAGGAAAAGTCCCTAGTCTGAGAGAATCGAGCTGAATCTTTATTTGGGTTTTCTGATTCACCAGTCTCAGGTTTCTACTTAAGTGTCTCTCTCACACGCGGGGTCCCGATTTAGCTTACCGGTTCTACCGCTGATATTTCTGATGACTCAATTATCAGGAATATTTGGATTCGGACCCAAAACTCGGAATTTGATGATTCTGAGGTTTTGCGTTATGGATTGGCTTTTATATAGTCTGGTCCCTGGATGCTACAGCCCCCCAACTTTGTACTTCAGAGCATGTGAAGGAGTTTAAAGTGACCGCGAAGTACCAGATTATTTCGAGGTTTGATTTTTTTGGTACAGGGAAAAACTTGTCCCTTAGGGGATAGATATAATAGAAAAACATGCCACCAGCACCTATTTTTATCTATTACCCAATTATTTAATTATACTATGACGGGAGTTCTCAATCACATTCATCGGAGTCAGTCTTGACCTGTGCTCTCGGTTGATTTTAACTTGGCTCAGAACAACCTAGTCTGTGGATCCTTCTGGCATATTGGCGGAGCATGCTTCAAGGTGAGAAAAGTGGGAGAAGTTCCCCGCCTCGTGCGCTTCATATTTCTCACTGATCTTTCATCAGTGATCGTTGCTGTTGATTTCGTTGCCCTTGATTGCCTTCGTTTGCGTCGAATGCGTTGACGAACTAGTCATCTGCGATGTCTGATTTATGCGTCCAGGTACGCTCCCCGTCTGTCTATTT